CTGCTGCGGCTGCTGCGGGGGTGCGGGCCCTGCCAGCGGCGCCGGCAGCTGTAACGATGGGCCCGCCGCTGGCGGCGGCGACGGCGGCTGGGCAGCTGTGGCGCCGATGACGGGAGCAGCGGGTGGGTGGGGCAGCACGGTTGGGCTGCGCGGCGGCGGCGGCGGCGGCGGCGGCGGCGGCGCCAGCTTCTCTGGTGTCAGCGGCGCCTCTGCCTCTGCCTCTGCCTCTGCCTGCGCCTCCGCCTCCGCCTCATCCGCCTCGCTGCTGGTGGTGCTGTCGGCCACGGCGGCCTCGCCCTGGCCGCGAGCCAGCGAGGAGACGGGAGACATCTGGCGCCCATCCGGGTGCTGCTTCAGCTGCAGCCGGTTGGTGGCCCACGCGTTGGCGGGCGGCGGCGGCGGCGGCGGAGGCGCCGCAGGCTGCCGGGGGCTCGCCTCACCCGCCGCCGCGGCCGCCTCGCCCGCCGCGGCCGCCTCGCCCTCGCTCGCCTCTGGCCAGTCGCTGCGCGGCGCAAGCAGGGGCGGGCAGGCCAGCAGCAGTGGATGCCTGGGCGCCAAGCCAGCGGTGGCACATGCCAGCCTCCACTGGCCACCACCACCACCACCACCACCGCCACCCCACCCACCTGGGGATCACAGGCTCCAGCACCACCGAGCCGCCCGGCTGCACCGCCACCCCCCTGAGCCGCGTGTTGGTGGGCTGCAGCACCTCCAGCAGCAGCGCCACCGCCTTGTCCAGGCGCTGCCGGCTGGCGGCCGCCACCCAGGCGTGCAGGCTGGGGTCGCCGTGCGAGGAGGGGTGCGCGCCGTTCAGGTTGCCCGCTGAGTCGCGCACCTGTGACGGGCGGGGGCGCGGGGCGCGGGGGTCGAAAGGGCGGGGCGGCGCGCACGCGGGTGAGCAGGTGGGGCATGAGGAGGGGCACGTGGCGTGCATGCAGCCGCAGCAGGGGGCAGGCTCGCCACCCGCCCGCGCGCCCACCCACGCACTCACCTCCACCTTGGCCCCAGAGGCCTTTTGTATGCGCTGCACCGTGGCGCCGCCGTGGCCGAGCACCAGGCCCACAAAGTTGTACAGGGCATCCTGCAGGGGCATGGGGTGTGTGGGGCGCCGTGGCGCGGGCACCGCGGAGGCAGGTGCCGTCGTCGAATCCATAGCCGGCTGCTCCCGGCGCGGCCTGCCGGCACCTCCCCGCCCAGAGCGTGCCTACCTTGCCGCGCGCCGCGCGGTACTGCGCGCCGCGGTAGGGGGGCCGCGGGAAGAAGAGCTCAAACGTGAGCTGCTTGGCCTTGCCGGGCGAGCGACTGTCTAACAATCCCTGCAGAGCCGCGGGCGGGCGGGCAGCAGGAACCGAAGAGTCAGGCGGGAAGCCGACGCCCGCCGCCGGCTCCAGCCCCAGGCGCCTCTGCACCCCCGCACACTCACCAGCTTTTTAAGCTTGTTATGCACTGCGGGTGTCTTGCTGCGCTGACTGCCTCCCGCTTGAGCTCGGGGTTGCGGCATGCCCCTTGCTGTGGGGGGGTGTTTTAATGGACACCAGGGAATCCCCCTGGGCTGCACCAGCTGTTTTCAGGCGGCGCGGAGGTCTCGACAGCCTCAGAGCTTCTCCCCCGCCGGGAACCCTTCTGCCGCTTACCCCCGGGCTGGATATCGCCCGCTGCGATCACAAAGGGGGCTGCCCGAGATTCATGGGATCCTCGCGGGCCAGGCAGGCGAGGGAGGCCGGCAGAGGTTGAGAGCCGCAAAGTGGAGGGCGTGACTCCTTGCTGCTGGGGGTAAAAGCAACACGGGTTGGCGGTAACTGACGGTGAGGGGAAATGCACAGTCTGCCGGGCTTCCCGGGCCAAAATAAACTCGCTAGCGACGGCCCAATGCCAGGTGTTCAGGCGGGTTGGGATTGCTACAGATCACCTAATGCGGGAGGGAACTGTGCAAGCCGCGTTCCAGGAGGAGAGAGGGGAATGATGACGGGATGCAAGCCTGCGCCCCAGCCGCCGCCCGCCCCGTGGGACGAACAGGACCGCGCTCTCGCCGCTATCGCGCAATTGGAAGAAGGGCACAATTGCCAGGAGTTTCTCTCCATCAGCGCTTCTTCTTATTCTTTTTCTTCTTGTTCTTACCGCCACCGCCGCCGCTGCTAGGATTGGGCCCGGCCGCCTGCGGAGGAGGAGCAAAGCGGGGAGAAGCCATGATGGCTGCCGTTAGCGGGGCCGCCGTCTCAACCACTACCCATCACATGGGGATCGTGGATTCCCAGCCAGCTCTCTGCTGCTCACGTGAAGGGAATGTGTGCCGCGCTTTTGCGAGATGCTCAATGAGACTTGCTCAACCGACTGCGCCCCGCCCCAACCCACGCACCTGCTGCTGCTGTCGTTGCTGCTGGTGACGCTGCTCCGCGGCAGCCGCTGCTAGCGAGCGGGGTGCCTGCTGCCGCCACTCTTGGGCCTGCGCCTGCAGCTGCGCTGCCGCTGGGCCGGTGGGTGTGTGACGCCGTGAGCCGGTGCTTCTCCCCATGCCACCCGTCATCAGGCTGCGCAGCTTTTCCAGGAAGGGCGGCAGGCGCCGCTCGCGCAGCTTGTGCCCCTCCTTGCTCCAGTACAGGGCGCCGCCCAGCAGGGCTGCCACCACTGCGATGCTGCCCAGCCCGCTGTTGGAGGGCGGGGAGGGTGGGGGCGGGCCCAGGCCACGCTTGGAGGGCTTTGGGCCCAGCGCACGCGCCACCTGCAGCCGGTTGCTCTGGACCTGCTCCGTCCAAGTCATGGCGGGGGCCGGCTCTGCACGGGTGCAAGAGAGCAGAGCAGGGAGCGGTGGGCGGCAGCAAAGAGGGGGGGGGGGGGCACCACCTGCCGCTCCGCTGCAGAAGGTGTGGCGGTGGGTCTGGGCGATGCGCGTCAGTCATTGCGCTGCTACAGAGCAGGACACGCTGCTGGGCTTGCCTGTGGCTGCCGACGCTGTGTAGGCAAGACGCTGTGTGTCGGTGCCGCGTTGGGGCCTCGTGCGAGCTTGCAGGGCGTGATCCCTGGGAAGCCGTTGCCGCATGGATGGCTTTGTGTGCCGGCAGTACATTTTGAGAGTTACATCGTTCTGTAGCACTATACCTTCATTATTCGGTTCATAGACCTGCTGTGCGTGATCAGGATCAATTCAATCGTCGAAGAAATGCCAACCCGAAATGGCCGACTCGGGACAGGCTCGCTGCTGCTGCTCTTTTCGGGCACGGCTGCCAGCCTGCTTGCCAAGCTGCTGTACCAATGCCAGGTACACGGATCCCGTCGAGGAGCCCTGGATGGCCGCTGACGGGTCGGGTGCCTGCTGCTGTCCGCTGCAAGCCCACCGTCAAATTGCGCAAGGCGTGACTTGCGTACTGACCTGTGATGGGGCGCCCTACTAGCTGCTGCAGGGCCCGGGTCTGGATGGCCAGATGAAGGAATTTGAAAAGCCTTGGGCATCGACAGGTGGGGGCGCCACATGACTGCCGTGCGTGCTCGCTCTCGACAGGTGCCATCCACCCAGGTGGCACGACGTGTCGAGGATGCACGCCCCCCCCCCCCGGCTGTTGCACCCTGCTGTGGCCATCGCCATCATGGCATGAATGCTGCCAAGCCCCCGCTGCTGTTGCAGCCCTCATGTTTCTGGCCATGGCCCTGTGCCTGCCGGCGGGCCTGGCAGCACGCCGCCTGCACAAGTGGCTGCAGCAGCTGGAGGCGGCGCCGGCGGACGAGGCCAGCGAGCCGCTGCTGGGCCTGCACCGCCCCTCCACAAGGGGCACCGCCAACCCGCCGCGCTCACCAACCCCGCTCAGCGTCAGCCCAGCCACCAGCGTGGCCACCACCCTGGACGGTGCTCCGCCGAGCGAGCTGCGGCTTCCAGTGCCAAGCGGCAGCTCACGGCCCGGGGCCACCAAGCGGGCGCTGGTGCTGATCCTGGCACCCCACCCTGTTTGACCTGGTGGCCACGGCGCTCATGTCGGTGGGCCTCCTCACCATCACCGCGTCTGTCTTCCAGATGCTGCGCGGCTCGGAAATCGTGTTCACGGCCGCCATCAGCTGGCTGTGGCTGCGCCGCCGCCTCAACCGCTGGCACCTGGCCGGCATCGCGCTGTGCACGGTGGGCGCCCTGGCATCCGCCGCCTGCGCATGCCTGCCTGGCTCCCAGCCGCACCATGAGCGCCCTTGCATGTGTGTGTGTGCTGCTGGCCTGCAGGCTGGCATCACGACGGTGGGGGCTGCCAGCCTGCTGCAGGAGCCAGACTCCACCAACGCGTCTGCCGCCACCTCGCTCCGCACCACGTTGCTGGGCATGGCCCTGGTGGTGGCAGCAGAAGTGGTGCAGGCGGCCCAAGTCGTCACCGAGGACTTCTTCCTGAGCAGCAGCCTGAACCTGGCGCCGCTGACGGTGGTGGGGTGAGTGGCGCCCGCCTGGGAAGCCGGCCAGGCACCACCTGCCGGCTGGTGGCTACTCACCTGGCCTGCCTGCCCGACCCCCGCCCTGCAGGGTGGAGGGCGTGTGGGGCACGCTCCTCATGTTTTGTATTGTGCTGCCAGCGGTGCAATACCTGCCGGGCAGGGATGGGGGCGGCATACACGAGGACAGCGGGGACTCCCTGCACATGCTGGCTCACAGCTGGCAGCTGCGTGCCGTGGTGGCCTGCTCCATTGTTGGCATGGGCGTGTACAACGTGGCGGGTGGGCCCTGCTGCTGCCTGCTGCCGCGGGCAGGCCCATCCCTCCTGGAGCATGCTCCCAGGGGCGACCGTTGCGGCTTACGGTCGTGGTGGTACAGCTGGGCTGGCCTGACATCCCCAGCTGCCGTGCCGCCTTCATGCAGGCATGCTCGTCACCGGCAGCTTGGGCGCCGTGACCAGGACTGTGCTGGAGACCATCCGCACGGCGATGGTGTGGGTGCTGAACCTGCTTCTCTATTATGCAGGCAGGCAGGCCGCCGCTGCCCAGCAAGAGGGCAGAACCCCAGGCAACTGCTGCAGCAGGTTTAGGGGGTTTAGGGTTTAGGGTTTAGTATATAGACCCTAGTATTCTCCTTAGGGTGCCATCCAAATGCCGCGTGTGGAATTGGAACGGGTGGCTGTGCCTGCTGTGCCTCGTAGGTGCCCGCCGATGTGCTCCTCCGTGTGCAGGGCCGCACCAGGGGGCACAGCTGGGCGAGCCCTGGACCGCTCACAGCTGGCTGCAGGCCGTAGGCTTTGCCATCCTGGTCGTCGGCACCCTGGTGTACGGTGAGCGGCTAACCTGCGCATCTCTCTGGTGGCTGGAACAGCCACCAGGACCAGAAGGCCCTCAGATGCCCGCCCAGTGCGACCTGTTGGTCTTTGTGGCCCCAGGTTGGTGACCCTGTGCTGCCCCCGAGTGCCCCAATCACCTCTGGCCACCCTGCCCTGCCCCAACAGGCCATGGCGAGGAGGTGCACGAGCGGCGGCTGCATGCCAAGCTGCGCTGGGCGCGCCTGCGGGAGTCGGTAGCAGCCCTCGTGACGGCGCACGAGGCGCGGCACCCCATGAAGGCGCTGCGCATCGCCGGGCCAGCCTCCATCCGCACCGCCTTCCTGGAGCGCCAGGTGATTTACCGGCTGACGGAGCGCCTCGCAACCCGTGCCGACGCCTCGCCCGCTTGAGCCAGCACGCCGCGCCTGGGCAGCACCACTGCTGGGGACATAAGAAGTGGGGCGGACGAGCTTTAGTTGCACGGCACAGCATCGAAGGGATCCCCCTCAAAATTATGTCATGATGCACTGAATCAAATTTAAATGGACAGCCAGTGGAAAAGAAAGGCGCGGGGCGGCGGCCATGTCGGGCTGCTGGCAGCTTCGACATGGTGGTTCCAATCGCCGGGAGCAAGGGCCGGCCCCAATCAAATCGATGGGGTCGCGTCCTGGATCGGGTTGCACCGGGTAATGCATCATAGCCTCCATAGGAAGAAGAGGCACCCTATTGGTAAGTGGAAGGTTGATCAAACCAAGCTGTATGTCAGGATGTATGTCAGGCTGCTGCATAGTGCAAAAGATGATCACCAGGATCTAAAGACTGCTGCCAGGGTCATGAAATGTGGCGGCAGCATGAGCTGCACAAGAGATGTCCAGGTCTGGACACTGCGACAGGGTGATGAAATGTGGTTGCAGCACGAGCAGGGTGTCAAATGGGGTGCAAGGGTTAACAAGTTTCAAGACCAGGAGGAGTGAAGCTTCGCAAGGATACATCAATGCTATCCGAGCTTGGCGCCCAGCCATGTGGACGCGGCAGCTGCACCGCAAGCGGCGGGCTCAGCCGCGTGCACCCTGCCAGGCGCGCTGCTCCGCAGGGATGGAGAAGAGGGCGAGCCAGTCCCACGTCACCGCCAGCAGCACCCACACGATGGCCGCCACAAAGAGCCCGCTGCCCTCGTCGGCCAGGAAGCCAACGGCGCCGAAGATGGAGGCATCGATGCCGCGCTCCGCGGGCAGCCCCAGCGCCCGCCGGCGCCGCTGCTGCTGGCGGAACAGGCGCGCCTCGGCCAGCGCCTCGCACACCAGCGGTGCCAGCAGGCCGATGGCGATGTGCAGGAAGCCCAGCACGGTCTGGCACTCGGCTTCTGGGTCGGGCTGCACAAACGCCGACACCGGCAGCGGCAGGGTGTAGGCCAGCGTGCTGAGCAGCGAGTAGAGGCGGTGGGTGTGCGCCTGCGCAGCGGGGCTGGCCAGCGCAGGCACGGAGCAGAAGGTGGGGTGGTGCCGCAGAATGGTCCCAACAAGGAAGGTCTGAGTGGCCGCGCTCAGCCTGCACAGCAGGGCAAGGGAGCTTCGATGCACATGGGCCCAGGGGAGTGCATGCGTGTGGGAAGGCCTGGCGGCAGCGTGACGCTGTTGCCCAGCTGTCCACCCATCACCAGCTCACCAGAACCGCATGCGCCAGGCAAGGGCGTGGCTGATACAGGATGGGCCCCCGCAGGCAAACACGATGAGCGCGAGGTGGGCCGCCGCCCCTGCCGCCGCCGTGGGCGGCACCGCCTCCAGCAGCCGGCCGGTGAGCACAGTCCAGGCACCCAGGCCGCAGGCGGTGAGGCGCAGCAGGGTGGCCAGCCCTTCGCGCCAGCGCATGTAGCTGGTGGTCCAGCCGCTCCGTCGCCACGCGATGGTGGCCAAGCAGGCGGCGCAGTAGGCGAGCAGCGACGCGGCGACGGCCGGCGAGGGCGGCGGCGTCAGCAGGCTGCGCAGCTTCATGGCAAATGTCAGGTACAGCACCTGCAGCAGCGTGTACACGCCAGACATGAGCTTCTGGTCGCTGGTAGCGGCACCGCCGCTTGCCTAACGGCGGCCGCTGCCATCGCCGTCACCAACCCTACCCCCACCACCACCGCGGGGCAGGGTCAAGGGCTTCCCTATGGCTCCTCTCTCGGTGCTTACCAGGATGACGGTGCCCCCCAGCTGCTTGTCGGCCGCCCACTCAAGTTTCCGCCTCTCGGCATGCGTGTGAAGCCCCGTCTCCTCCCGTATCCTGTCTGCAGCTGCGTCGATAGCAGACACACAGGGGGGAGTGGAAGCGCTCGGCGAGCGAAGCCTGGTCATGACGTTTGGCCGCCAGATAAGTGCCCCGAGCGCTTGCCCGGCCACAGGCAAGGCTGGGCTTTCAGCATGTGTGGGAGGGGAGGAGTTTCAGCTAAGGGGCATTATAAACACATCAGCATCTATTGGACCGACCATGTGGGGCACATGTGGACGTTCCCCACAGGGGACCCCTCGGGGTCGGCTGCTTAGGGCACATTATTTGGACGTGCACGGCCCCAGTGTAGAAGTGGGATGGCGGGGGAGATGCCCCGACAAGCATGCAGCGGGGCGGAGTCCCGCCACCTGGTGGCGGCAACGCAAACACGCAGGCCTGCACATCTCAATCAGCGCCTTGCCTGCCTTCTCCTCATCTCGGATCCATTCATTTCACCCAGGGTGGCAAATGTCAGCACGTAATATGCTGAGCCATTCACAAGACTGGGGTAAGGATTTATTTTGAATGCGGGGGCCTGGTCAGAGGCGATGGTGCGTGCATCAGGTCAGGTGACACTAATGAAAGGCGAAAGGGATGAGCGTTGAACGGGCATGTACACTACCACACATCCTTCAAGTATCTGCCACTGTCTGCCAGCTTCTTGATCATCACCTCCGCCTGGGCATCCGAGCAGCCCGTGGCCTGCACAACCACCGCAAGGGGGAGGGATGCCAGTCGCATGCTGTGGGCTGCAGCAACACACCAGCATGCGCCACGCCCCGGCACGCCCCATCCAGCGCAACCCGCCACGGCGCAAGCATGCCTGCGCAGCGCGAGGCGCCGCACCTTGGCAGCGATGGCGTGCAGCGTGTGGTGCACATCCTTGGCCATGTTCTTGGCATCGCCACACACATAGAGGTAGCCGCCCGCTGCAGCCACATGTGCATGTGCGCGGGCGGGTGAGCGAGGGCGGACACGCCCGCATGGAGCGCATGGCAGGCTGCCTGTTCGCGCGGTGGGCTGCCTCCCTGCCTGCCAACCAGCAGGCCAGCCAGCCTACACGCCCAAGCTAGCCAGCCGGCCAGCTGGACCCAGCCAGGCCAGCGCCCCGCACCTGAGTCGCTGAGCGCGGCCCACACCTCTGCCGCATGCGCCTCCATCTGGTGCTGCACATACTCCTTCTGGGACCGCTCCCGAGAGAAGGCGGCGTGCAGCTGCAGGGAGGGGGGGCGAGCCAGGCGCGCGCATGTGGGCTGGCCCCACGGACGCTGCAACCAAAGGGGCATGGAGAGGGCAGGCGGGCGGCGTCCATGGCGCGGGCCCGGGGAGCCCCACGCCGTGCACCAGCCCTGCTCGCCCCACCCTCCCGCCCTCCTCCTCCTCCCCCGCACCTGCCCTCCACCAGCCCCCACCCCGCCTCCATCCACACACGCCCATGCGCACCTGCGTCAGCGCGCCGCCAGCCACCGCCGCCTCCAGCTCTTCCTCGTAAATGAAGTCATGCTTGCGATTGCGGCACCCGAAGAACAGGTGCGCCGTGCCCAGCCGCGCGCCTGCACCCAAGCAGCCACGCACAGCCGGCCGCGGCACGTCGACAAGGGGGCGGGCAGGCTCAGGGCGGGGACGGGGCACCGGCCCCGGCGAGCCGCAGCGTGCTGCTGCCGCGCTTGCGCCGCCACCTTAGCGCACGCACCATGCAGGCCCGCGGCCGCGGGGCGCACGCCCGCCCACCTGACTTGAGCAGGGCTGCGCGTTGCTGCAGGAAGCCGCGGAAGGGCGCCAGCCCCGTGCCGGGTCCCACCATGATGAGCGGCACCGAGGGGCTGGCGGGCAGCTTGAAGGTGGAGCGGCGCAGGAACAGCGGCACCTGCTGCCCCACCTGCGCCCGCGCCAGCCAGCAGGAGGCCACGCCCTCGTGCACCCGCCCTGCACGACGACGGCGCAGGAAGGGAGGGGCAGGGGCAGAGCTTCGGGGTGACTGGCGGCGTTGGGGCTGCGGCTGCAAGGCGCCCACGTGCCGGGGCAGGCGGGGCACCCACCGCTGGGCATGTCCTCTCGCACCACCGCACACGTGATGTGCACCGACCGCGGGTGCTGCTGCGGCGCTGAGGAGATGGAGTAGTAGCGCGGCTGCAGGTGCGGCGCGACGCTGCCAAAGAATGCGCCTGCAGAGGGACGGCCAGAGGCAGAGGAGCGGTGAGCGGGGCGGTGGGGCGGCCGCGCATCGTGTCACGGCAGCAGGGCCGCAGCGCAGGGCGCGCAGCTGCGCTCGGGCCTGGCGTGTGCGCCCAGCCCAGGCCGCCCCTCGCCCTCCTGTCCCCCTCCCTTGCCCCGGCCGCCGCGCGTGGCACCACCACCCACCCAGGGAGGGCCTGGCCGAGCGGAACTCCTGCATCATCTCCAGCAGGCTGCGCTTGCCAGCCACCACATACGCGTGGTACTCACCCTTGCCTGCGGGGAGGGAGGAGGGCGCGCGGGTGGCTGGGCGGGCGCCTGGGCGGCCGGCATGGCGACGCGTGCGGCGCCCAGCTGCACAGCAGGCAGAGCGCCGCCAGCTGGCGCCGCCAGCTGGCCCCGACGCGACGCCTCACCCTCTATGGATGCCAGCCGCTGCAGGCGTGCCGCCTCCTTGGCATCCGTGGCGCAGGCCGCCAGCGCCAGCAGCGCCGCCTTGTTGGGCGCGCTCAGCAGGTCGGCGTACCGCGCCAGCGCGCAGCGCAGCGTCAGCGGCCCCGCCACCGCCGGCTCGGGCAGGCTGTGCTTGTTGGCGGCGGGCAGGCGCAGGCGGAAGCAGTGGTCGAGGGGCAGGCCCAGCGCGGCGGCCGCCGCCGCCACCACCGCCGGCGAGTTCTCCGCAAACACCGCCACGTGGTCGCCTGCAGGGTGGTGCAGGCGACAGAGGCAGGCCCGCAGGGGCGCGCGGCGCGCGCTGGGCGGGGCCACCTGGCGGGCAGGTGGCGGCAGCGCCCAAACACGGCCGACGCGGGCAGCCTGCGCACCCCTGGCTGCGACGAGGCGGCCGACCGACCGCTGCCCTGCCTGCTCCCCTTCGCAGCGCGAGCCCCCGCGCCCCACCTGCTTCGTAGCTGGCCCTGCAGCCGGCGATGTCAAGCTCCAGATGCACGCAGGAGCGGCCGCCGCCTGTGTGCAGCTCCCGCACCGCGCCCACGGTGGCCAGGAAGGGGCTGTGGCTGTTCAGGCCGCTGCCGCCGGCGGGCAGGCGGTCCACCGCCGAGGCGGGCACCTCTGCCAGGGAGCACTCCTCAACATCATACGCGGCCAAAAAGTCGGCTGAGAGGCCGCTGGAGGCGCCGGCCTGCGCCACGGCGGGAGCGCAGGGGCGGGGAGGGGAGCGAGAGGTGGGGCCAGGGGCCGCGTGCTGCTGCTGGGCGGCTGGCCGCATGCCGGCCTCAAAGCCTCGCCCAGGCGCGCCCTGCACTGCCCCTCCCCGCCCTGGCGTGCCAACACCAGCTTCGGGGGCCCGCCGGGGCCAGCTGCGCCCTAGCCCAGCACCCCGCGCCACCCAGCCCCAGACGGCGGCGCTCCCAGCCCGCGCCCCAGCAGCAGCCCACCTTGCCCGCCGTCACCAGGCCCGACGCGTCCAGCGCCGCAAACAGCTGGCTGCACCAGCGGTCAAAGTCCTCGTCGATGTCCCGGTCGTCGTCACCCTCCCCCCGCGCCACCGCCTCGTCCGCGCCCAGCTGCCGCATCGCCTTGGACACCTTGCGGCCCATGGCGCAAAAGTGCTCGTACTGGCGGTTGCCCAGCCCAAACACGCCAAAGCTGAGGCCGGCCAGCAGGCCGTCGCCGCCGCCGCCCTCTGCCGCCTCCGACAGCCAGGTCCAGAAGTCGGTGGCTGAGTCGGTGGGGTCGCCGTCGCCGTAGGTCGCCATCAGCAGGAAGACCAGCTTTTCGCGGGGCAGCTGGGCGGGCGCGTCGTACTGCTCAATGTCCAGCACCTCGAACGCGGTACTGCCGCCGTACCTGCCCTCCAGCTGCGCCCGCAGCGACTTGGCAAAGCGCTCCGCGGTGCCGGTCTGGGTGCCAAACAGGATGACGCACTTGTCCCGGCTGTCTGGTGCCTGACAAGACAGGCGGCGGGCGGCGGCGGCGGCGCCGTCAGTGGCAGTGACAGCCCAGCGCATCCTGCTCTACCTGTGGGCCGCTCAAGGAAGTTGGGCTGCTGCACTCACCTCTGGCACGCTGGTGGGGCCCTGGGAGAAGGCGTCCGAGGCCACGCTCCCTGGGCCGCTCTTGCTGCTGGGCTGCCTGGTCCTAAATAGCAGTAAAAGCACCGCCAGGCCTATCACCACCGTCACAGCCGTCAATAGCGCGGTGGGCGCGTCTACTGACAATGAAGCGAGGTCCATGGCGGTCTGCAGCAAACCCAAGTCCCCCCAATCACTGCATGGAGTATGCTTGATGAAGATGCAAATCGGGCGAGGCCGCCTATTGGCTGGCTGGGTTGAAAGTCTGCGCCAACACACAGCACCACGGCCACGCAGCAGGAGGTTTGTATTTCGGGGAGACCCTCTCTGACAGGCTTGATCTCATCGCCTGCCCCCGCATGATTGCCAGAGTGCTCACCAGGCTGGTCAGCGCGCACTCAGTGGCACACCAAGCGATGGCCGCCATCCCCTCCGCTCGAGTACTGTGCCTCTATCACTACCCGGTATGCGGTTAATGGAGGCAATTGGGCGCATCGGGACGGTCAAGAGATATGGGAGAACAGTCCCAACTCAACCGCTCGCCGCCGCCACCGCCGCCGCCGTCGCTGCCGCCGCCTGCCCGCTGCGCAGTGCGCGGACGGCATCTTTGCGGCGCTGGCTGTGCACCTGGCGCACAAGGCGCGCGGCACAGCGGTGCAGTTCTGGCCTAATACTGTGTGGGCGCCGCTGACGGTTGGGTCGCTGGGGCTGACGGGGGACGAGGTATGCCATGCATACCTCGTCGATTTCAGCGGCGGGCCTGGCTTTGCCAGGCAGCTGAGCCAGCATGTGAGCAAGGTGGTGGTGCTGGACCATCACAAGACCGCGGCAGCAGAGCTCACAGATCCGGCGCTGGCGGGCATGGAGTCGCTGGAGGTGCACTTTGACATGAACCGCAGCGGAGCGACCATCAGGTGGGGCGGCACCCCCCGTGTGTGCAGGGGCGCAGCAAAGTGCAGCATGTGTCTTTCCCTTTGTCGCCCCGTGTTTGCGTGCAGCCGCCGAGCAGCGCTAACACTGTGCTGCTGGCCCTGCCTGCATGCTGGGGCCCTGCCTGCAGCTACGACTACTTCCAGCCGCAGGGCCTCACCCCGGAGCAGCAGCAGCTGTTCCGATACATCGAGGACGCCGACCTGTGGCGCTGGCAGCTGCCAGAGAGCAAAGCCTTTACAGCAGGTGGGCAGGGAGAGGCGCCTGATGCTGCCGACATGCGGTGTGTGTGTGTGTGTGTATGTGTGTGGAGATAGTTGGGTGGGCACTCTGGCGGAATGCATCTGCCCTGGTAGCTGCAAGGTCGCACAGAACTTGCTCCCCTGCTCGTCTTCCTGGCAGGCCTGGCCTGAAGCTCGAGTACGATGCCCAGAAGAACCCCGCCATCTGGGACCAGCTGCTGTCGCAGACGCCGCGGGCGCTCATCCAACTGGGCGCGCCCATCCTGGCGGAGCAGCAGCGGCTGGTGCAGGAGGCGGTGGGGCAGGCGTTTGTCGTGAATGTCGGCGGGGCTGCGGGCGCGGAGCGCGGCTGGGGGCGCTGCCTGGCGGTGCGGGTCGGCGCCCAGCTGGCCAGCCTGCGCAGCCAGCTGGGCAACGCGCTGGCAGAGGAGAGCCGGCGGCAGGGGCTGCGGGCCATGGCGGTGGTGGCGTACATTGAGGTGCGCCAGCAAAGAAAGCTGTCTGCAGCCAGCGGGGTGGCGGCGCTGAGCCAGCCACAGTGTCTCTAGGCATGGGACACGCGTGCTGCTGGATGGCAGCGCCGCCCCACCATCCAGGCTCCAGAGGCCGACCCCCCTCGCGGCCTGCGCCCCCCACACCCCACTGCCACGCAACCGCAGGAGGCCATGGGGGACCCCTCCCAGATCAAGTGCAGCCTGCGGTCCATCGGCGAGGGCGAGGACACCACGCCCGTCAGCGAGGCGCACGGCGGCGGCGGCCACCGCAACGCCTCCAGCTTCATCTGCGCCGTGTCGCAGTTTGAGAGCTGGAGGGCATGAAGAGCGGCTGCCGGGCTGGCGGCGCTCCCAGTGGGTTGGCCAACCAGTGGGCTCGGCACTGCTCTGCGATGAGTTCCGTCGCGAGGTTACAATGTTACTGCCCGCGGGCCACAACGGCTGCCTACTGGGCGCTAACTGCCCACTGCCACTGCCTCTGCTGCTGCCTTGCTGTGTATCAACTCCAGCAGCTCCCGCCGCAGCGCCGCCACGTCTGCAGGCGTGACCGCGTCGGGCGCCAGCTCGAAGCTCATCCGCTGCCCCTGCTCGCTGTACCGCTGGCACAGCAGGCGTGCCAGGGCCATCACGTACACGCCGCAGTCGTGCCCATTCCGCTGCTGCGGCGTGGCCTGCTCGCACAGCGTGCTGCCTGGCCGCCGGGCCGCCTCAAACAGCCGCCTGGCGGCGCGGTGGTTGGAGCCCTGTAGCGACGAGTAGTGGCGGAAGGTGTCATCGGTGGCGCAATAGGCCAGCAGGGACCAGTGGCTGCCGCCCTCTGCGTGCTCGACGTCTGGGTTGTCGTTCACCGCGAACAGAACCACCTGCGCCGCCACAAAGCGCAGCGGCTCTAGGACCACCGCCGAGCCGTCGCGGCCCAAGTTGGCTAGTAGAAAAGTGGCGCTGCCTGGGATCAGCAGCAGGCCAGGCTGCGGGAAGGCCTCCCGGGCCAGGTACTCAAAGGCAAAGCCAATCACCTGCATTCGGTTCGTCAAATCACGCAACGCATGGGTCAAGGTGGGTATTTGGGCAGGCGGCGGCGGCGGGCGGGCGGCGGCAGTGATCGCGTGCAGCCTGCTGCTCCCCCGATCTCCCTGCGTGCAATTTCATGCATGGAAGATCCTGCTGCACAGCCTGACCATGTCGTTCAACCAGTGAGGGCCCTCCAGCAGGTCCACGTCCCGTCCCCGTAGTTTGGTGTCGCCATAGCTCAGCACGGTCTCCATCCTGGTGTGTGAGACCAAGTTAGCGGCGCTCAAGCCCTAACGGGAGGGTTTGGAGCTGCTGCTGACCCGCCACGCATGGCCACGCTGGAGGGCCACAGGGCGGAGCCTTGGACCTTCTCCGGCACCTTCATTTGCGAGCCTGGACATATACAAGTTGCTTATAAATTGACTGGCGCTGCAAAGGGGTCAGTCAGCTGAGGTCGCCAATCAATTGCCACCGGCACGGCCCGGTATTGCGCGCCAGGACAATGGAATCGGTGTTGAAAAGCTGAGGAAGTCACTAGCTGCCCACTCAGGCGGCCCTGCGCCCACCCAACCAGCCTGTAGTTGGACACCGGGGCTTTGGAAGGCCCAAACTCTGAACTATTCGAGCCGGCTGGGCGTGCGCGATGCAGAGGCAGCAGGAGGGGCGGGGAGGCGGCGCGCCACCAGTTCTCACGGAGCCCAGCGCCGGCGCTGACAAGAAGACTAGCGTGGCACTGGCAGCACTTGCCTCGCTCAAAGGCCTGGGTGCCAAGGTGACTGGCAGTACCCCGGACCGGGGCAGCAGCGGCAACAGCAGCGTCGCCAGCCGGCGGCCCAGCAGAGTGTCGCAGGCGGCCTCTCGCCGCGGCAGCCTGGTGCCGCCAACCGCCGGGCAGAGCGTGGAAGGCGCCGACAGCGCCGAGCCCGCCCCGACGGCCGCTGCGCCGCCGCCGTCGGGCATCCACCCAGGCCTGAGCCGCATCAAGAGCTTCAGCCGCAAGAAGTCGGTGGTGTTCCGAGTGGGCGGGCGCACGGTGAGTTTCGATGAGCTGGCAGCCGCCATGGATGCCGTGGACGGCCGGCTGGGCGGCGTGCTGGTGGAGCTGCGCACCGCCAATGCAGCGGGGCTGGGCGCCGTGCGCGGTCTGCACCACAGCAAGAGCGGTAAGCTGCCCAAGGTGCAGCCGGGCGCCAGCGGCGGCAGCGGCAGCGCGGCCAGGCCAGGCACGGCAGAAGCCGCGGCCGAGGCAGTAGCAGAGGTAGATGGGGTTGTGGAAGTCGAGACGGAGTCGGGGGCGGCACCAGCCAAGGCAGTTGAAACCCCAGACAGCCTGCAGCAGCTGCTTCTCTCCACTGAGGGGGAACGCGCCAGCAGAACCCTGCAGCGCGTCACATTCGAAGCGGTAAGATGCAAGCTGCATACAGGCTGGTGGCAGCCGCAACGAAATCCAGGTCAAGCACCGCCGTTGTCCACCACGATTGCCCTGCCTGCCTCGCCCTCCCGGCCTGCAGCGGGTGCTTCATCGCAGCGGCTCCAAGACGGCTCGTGGGCGCTTGGAGGGCAATGAGGCCGCTGCGGCCGCTGTGGAGGCTGCAGACGGGGCGCTCGTTCCGCATTTTCCCTACTTAGTTAACCCGCGGTGGGGCAGTAGTGCAGGGGCGGTGGACAGGCTGGGCTGGCTGCGCAACCTGGTGCAGTTCCGAGACTTCAGGCAGCGGCAGCAGCAGGCCCAGCAGCAGCAGCCCCTGCAGCCAGCCAGCGCCAGCGCAGGCGACAGCTCGGAGCCGCCTGTCATGCTGGACACAATCAGCTGGCTGGAGAGCGGGGCGGGGCTGCGCCCACAGACTGCCGCTGCGGCGGGGGCTGGTGGAGCAGGTGGCGGCAGCAGCACCAGCGCGGCCCTGCCTCCACGGACTGCCACGCGGAGTCGTGAGGAGGTGGCAATGCTGCAGGCCTGGCTGCAGGACATGATGGGCCTGGTCATTGCCCAGACAGCGCAGCAGGCACCCAGCAGCACAGCAGGCAAAGCGGCCGGCGACAGCGAGGCTGGTGGCGGCGGCAGTGCCGCTGATCCCCGTGCAGCCGGCGAGCGGGGCGACAGCAGCAGCAGCAGCAGCGGCAGCGGGGGTGCGGCCGATCTGGCGGACGCTGCGCTGTGGCTGTATGGCATGGCGTTTGAGGAGCTGCAGCGCCAGATCGCCACCGAGTGCGGGGAGCGCGGGTTGCTGCTGGGCGCCATGTGGCGCCACGCTTTCCACCTGGTGGAGCTCAGGTGCGAGGGGTGGTGGTGCAGGAGCAGCACCACTGCAGCATGCTGCTGGCAAGCTCCTCTGCTCTGATCAACAATTGGAGAGCAGCCTCCGCCACCCCCATCTACCAGCAGCATGCATCCATCCCTGCTCCCAACCGCTGCCGCTGCTTTGCTTGCACCTGGCTTGCTGGTGCCAGGGTGTCGCTGCTGTACGAGGGCGTCATTGGTGCGATACGCGACGAGCTGGTGGCCGTGAGGAAGCAGGCGGCGGCGGCCATGGCTGCGGCAGGTGCGGCGGAGCAGCGCGTGCGGGACAGCATGTATTACAGCCGAGATCGGTTCACGAAGATGGAGGAGGAGGTGAAGCGCATGGCACAGGTGGGCATGGCGATTGCGAGCTGTGGCCTGGTGTGGCGGTGGAGTGGCAGGCTGTGGGCTGCCCAGCTGTTGTTCTGTTGTCTTCCTTGTCAGAAGCTGCGGTGCTGTGCATTCTCGACCCACTTGGGAGCTGGTTGGGCCTGTGGTGCAGCTGCTGGCCTCCGCCGATGATGAGACGAGCAGGCACGCCGAGCAGGCGGCCATGCTGCGCCGAGCGCTGGATAGCCAATCCTCGCTGCGGGCCACGGCTGAGGGGCGGCTGGCTGACGAGCAGCGGCGGCGCATGGAGGTGGAGGCTGAGCAGGAGGAGCTGGTGGCGACCTCCCAGGAGCAGGCGTCGGCGGTGTCGGCACAGGCCGCGGAGCTGGCGCAGCTGCGGGCCGAGCTGCAGCGCTGCAGGGCCGAGGGGCGGGCGCTGGCGGAGGACAGGGCGCGGCTGGAGGTAGGGCTGGAGGGCTGCCTGTGTGCAAGGTCGCCCAGCAGAGGCCGCGCGCATTGCCCTGCTGGGCAACCTGACGGCGGACATCCTGACGTGCATCGTACTGTGCCGTGTGGGTGTGTACTGCGCAGGTTGAGGCGCGCAGCGCGCAGCGCAGCTTCCAGACGGCAGAGATCATGGGGCTGGGCCTGCGGGAGCAGCTGGCGGCGCGCGAGGCGGAGCTGGCGGAGCTGACCTCACGGCACAGCGCGCTGCAGGCGGAGCAGGCGGCTGCGGCGGCGCAGCTGCTCGACTCGCAAGCGTCGCTGGCGGGGCTGCAGGTCAGGCACGAGAGCCTGCAGGCCACCAGCGGCGAGCGGGTGCAGCAGCTGGAGGCGGCGCTGGGGGAAGAGCGCGGGGCGCTGGCCGACACGCGGGGGCAGCTGGCAGAGGTGCAGGCAGAGAGGCAGGCGCTGGAGCGAGGCCTGCAGGAGACGGCTTCCCGGGAGGCTGCGTTGGCTGCTCAGCTGAGGCAGCTAGCGGGCGCCCACGAGCAGCAGAGCGCCAAGCTGCGGCAGGAGGCAGATGCGAGGCGGAACGGCGACGACGAGCTGCAGGCGGTCCGTGCTGGGCTGCAGGTGCGACGGCTCGCGGCTGGCTGCCGCCATGCTGGAGCAAGCGATGTGCTGGTTGCAGCCGTGCATGTGCCATGGGGTGAGATACATCCCTCGCTGGCTGACGCACATCCCTCGCCCCGGTGCCAAGCGGTGCAGGTGACGCAGCAGCGGCTGGAGGGGTGGGGCGTCGTGTTTGCCAGCACCTCGGCCCACCGCACCGCCGCCGAGGCTTGGCGTGCCACCGGCCCCATCAGCATGGCGCGCCAGGTGGTGGCGGCAGCCAACCAGCACCTGGCTGAGCTGGCGGCGCAGCGGGCGGCGCTGCGGCACGACCTGGCCGCTGCCAAGGAGCGGTGGCAGGCGGAGGAGGGCGTGCGCATCAGGTATGTGTGCGTGGTGGTGGTGGGGTCTCAAACAGCAGCAGCCACGGAGCATGTGGTCTGGGCTGATGTGTGCAAGCACCAGCAGGACGGCTCACTCGCGCCGCCGTGGCTGGCGGCACCCTCTGCTCCTCCCGGCAGGCTGCAGGAGCAGGTGCTGGAGGTGCGGGCGCGGGAGTCCAAGCTGCGGCGGGAGCGGGAGGGCCTGGAGGGTGTGGTGGCACGCCTGGAGTCGCAGCATGCCAGCATGGGCGCTGAGCTGTCGCAGATGCGCAGGATGCTGGCGGAGGCGGGTGAGGGGCCGGCTGCCACCAGCGAGGGGACCTGCTGCACCAGACACTGCATCAGGGGCAGGCACTGATCAGGCACTTTCCGCACTGAGGGACCCAGCCCCTGCCATTGCGTGGCTGTCGCTCTGCAGAGGCGCGGTGCCAGGCCAGCCACAGGCAGGCCATGGAGGCGGCCGGCGATGCCAAGCGCCTGGCACCGCTGGAGCCGCGCGTGGCGAAGCTGGAGGAGTCGCTGCGTGCTGCGCACGCCGAGCTGGAGCAGGCGCAGCGTGAGATGACCGCTCACCAGTCATCCATCAGGCAAGCCGCCGGGCCCAGAGCCCAGTGCTCTCCCACCCTCCACCCTGCATCGCCCTTCTCTGCAGCGTCCCGATAGCCATGAGGTGCCCTGCGGCTGCGTTGCCTTGGCCCGAGCCTGCACTGGCCCCCTGTGCAGGAAGCTGCTTGACGAGAAGAGCACGGCGCTGGAGCAGCTGGCGGCCCGCGGCCAGGCGCTGGATGCGGCGCAGCTGCAGGTGCGGGAGCTGGCCAGCGCCAGCAGGGACCGAGTGGAGCTGGCGGGCGACAAGGCCAAGGTGAGGCGGTGGCGCTGGGCATGGTTGAGGCACACCTGGCCCTGTCTCTCTGGTGCGCCTGCCCCTTCACACCAGGCTGTGCTAAGGGTCGCTTGTGTCAAGGCGCGACGCCTGGGCAAGGCCGTCACATCCGGGGTCATACGCACCTGAACCTGGCCTTGCCTCTGCCACCCCTCTGCCTGCCCTCCCTCCCTGCCTGCGCCTGCAGCTGGAAGAGGAGCTGCACTCGCTGCGCCAGCGCTGCTCCGCCACGGAGCGGCTGCAAGGGGAGAGCATGCACCAGCTGGCGGTGGCGCGGCGGCTGCTGGCGGACGCACACAGCGCCGACGAGCGCGC